TTTTGAAATCTCAATCCTAGAACCCTAGATACCCCAACACCTTCACAGCCTTGCAGGGAAGATGTCGTCCCTAAACCCTAAACCCCTAAACCCTAAACTCCCAAACTCCTGAAGCCCCTAAACCCTAAACCCTAATCCTAAATCCTAAAACCTGAAACCCTAAATCCTAAATCCTAAACCCTAAACTCCTAAATCCAGAGCCCTATGAAGAAAAGCCGCGCGTAGATCCCCGGAGGTCTCTCCTTGAGAGAGGCCGAGGTTGGCATGGCCGCCACGCAGCGACCGAACCTCGGCACAGACTGCAGTGTATGTCGTAGACCTTCAGCAGCCCGCCCTCCCCGGGGTGTAGGGTCTAGGGATGTTTAGGGTTAAAGGTATAGGGATTATACGGTTTAGGGTTGTTTAGGGTTTCATAGTATGAGTGTTTCCGAAAATAGGGGACCCTAATATAGTACCCCAAATAGTAGGATCCTTCTTATAAGGACCCCCAAAATAAGGTACCCAAATTTCGGAAAGTCCCATATAAATCCTGCATTAGCTTAAGGATCCTAAACTATGGTAATGCAGGATGGATATCATCAACCGTACTGCCTGGGGCCTGTTTCGGGGGTGTAGTGTTTAGGGATTCAGGGTTTGGGGTTGAGGGTTTGGGGCTTTTAGGGCTTCGGGATTAGAGCTTCAGCGGTTTAGGGCTTGAGGGGTTTACGGCTTCGGGGGTTTAGGGACTCAGGGGTTCAGGGGTTTTAGGGTTGAGGGGTTTTAGGGCCTAGGGTTTGCAGAGATTGAGAGTATAGGGTTGAGGGGTTTAGGGCTTCAGGGGTTTAATAGATTCAGTTGAGGGGTTTAGGGGTTTTGGGGTTTAGGGTCGTTTTAGGGCTGAGGGGTTTTAGGGCTTAGGGCTTATAGAGATTCAGGGTTTAGGGTTGAGGGGTTTAGCGCTTCAGGGGTTTAAGGGATTCAGTATTTAAGGTAGAGGGGTTTAGGGTTTACGGTTTAGGGTTTGCCACGGTTTAGGGTTTACCTAGACCCCACAGAACCTACCTTTTTAAGGACTGATATAAGGAAATCATAGTAAGGAGCCCTAAAAAGGAAGGTTCTTTGGGGTCCATGTAGGGTTTAGGGTCTAGGGTTTAGGGTTCGTTTAAGGGATTCAGTATTTAGGGTAGAGGGGTTTAGGGGCTTTAGGGTTGAGGGGTTTTGGGGTGCAGGGTTGAGGGGTTTAGGGTAAGCTGTTCAGGGCTTAGGGTTTAATTAATTGGAATAGAGCTTCCTGGTATGAGACAGGGTCAGGGCCTAAATATTAGGGTTGACGATTGATGATGAAGGATGCTAGCTTTAGGCATAGGTTGAAGTTAAGGGTGAAGGACACGGAGCCGCAAAGCTGGCGATCGTGGCTCGTCGTAGCTCGTCGCTCCACATACATTGATACCGCGATGATGGTACTCGTACTTATTATAATGTACGCATCAAAAAATAATGATCGCAATGATCGTCACGAATCGTAGGCAAATGAAAGCCAGTAGCCGTATGAATGTGAGTAGTGGTGCTAGTACAAGTAATGAAATAACCATACTAACAACGATCGCAACAGCCGTCCCAACGACACGACACTATTTTGATAGAATAGTGATAGCATCCCAGTAGACATGTACTACAACCTTTCGTGTGTCTTGAACATCACTTTCACATAGCTCGCTTGCGCCGATGAAAACTGCATTTTCATTTATGCAGCTTTAGGCCCACACGTGTATGTATGTATGTATGTATGTATGTATGTATGTAGGCAGGTAGGAAGGTCGGTCGGTCGGTAGGTAGGCAGGTATGTATGTATACACATGCCTCTAAGCTGCAAACCTGAAGGCCCTAAGCACAGAACCCTAGAACCTGAAAAGGGCAGAGCCTGTTAACATCCAGCTGATGGTCTGATGATCTAAGGTTGGCGCGCTACCAAGATGTCGGCCCTCGGCACCTGCGTTTAGTGCGTAGGGGTTTAGAGGTTTGGGGATTTAGGGATTTAGGGGTTTAGGGATTTCATAAGCGGTTTGGACCTGCTGGGTCCTTCACCCAGGTCCCACTTGCAGGTTTCAGGGCTGCCAAATTACGGCGTGGGGTGGGAAAGAAAGAAGGAAAAACCCTCTATAGACAGGCGTTCGCAGCTCGTCGCGATGGTACGATGCACTCGACACAGCCTTGTCGCTAGACACTATCACCTAAGCGCTATTCCACGGCAAACCTTAAACCCGATCTGCTAATTATGTTTACCGCCTACACTGCAAAACCGGCCAAGACGGCAGAGCCGCCGGCCACACGCTCACTCTAGTGAACCCCGAAAAATTGGAAACCGGATTAGGGTTTGGGGCTTAGGGCTTAGGCTTTAGGGAGATTATAAGAACAATTTACCCTAAACCCTAAACGCTGAACCAATTAGTGCTGGGATTCCCTAGACATTACGCTAGGGAGTTGAGGCTATCTGGTTTCCAACTTTTGAGCTTCTACCGTAAGGCTCCATGTGCCTGTAAGGTTGACTGGTAAGGGGGTTCCTTTGAAGGGACATAGCGTATATACTTAGGCCTTAAAGAAGTTCCCATAAAGTTAGTGCAAGGGCTTCAAGAAAACAGCTAGTTATCAACTACAAGTAGTACTCACTTTGGAGACTGAAATCTAAAAATGCCTACATTCACGTTCCAAAAAACTAAAAATAGTTCCCACTCTGGGGTCTGTATGATAACCCTGTGGGGTCTGAACTCTATAATAGAACCCGCTACTCCGTCTGCGGTTTAGAGGGTTTAGGGTTTAGGGTATTTAGGGTAATCTAAGAATTAAACCCTAAGCCCTAAACCCTAAACCCTAAATCCCTAAGCCCTAATCCCTAAACTATAGTACCTGCTGTGAGCCATTGTGGAGCCTCGGGGGAACTTCGAAAGGCCGTCTATGCTTTGGAACACGGGCGATAAAGTCGGCCAAACCGCAGAGCCCCACATTCTCGCTTATAAGGTGTAGGGTTTAGAGGACGGAAAGAACCCGAAAAGGGCTTTATACGGTGCATATACCATATAGGGGTTCATGGTATGAAGGTATATAGTGCGCCTACGTGTAAGAGTCTTTAGGTCCCTACCCTAAGGCTCAAAATAGCCCAAAAGCCATATATGATCCAGGTTCGGCCGT